GTGGAAACTGAAAATCCAGTCACTCCAGGGCAGTGCTGGTTTTCCTGGTCTCGCCAGGAACGGAGTTGGCGGCGACACCCCCTCGACGTTCATCGTCGGTAGTATTGAGGATCTCATCCTCGTCGCCAGATATAGTGTTCACCGCCGTCTCCGGATTCCGATGTATTCTCACAAACTCGCGGTGCAAAACACTAAGGCACTGCCGTGCTGTGCGGCCGGGCGGAGCCTCTCGACTACTGGCTCTGACTGGAGCCGAGCAGGGTGCGGCCGCCTCACACTCGTATTACCGGGGGCCCGATGCCGACGGACACCCGATGCACTAGGTACTCGATACACTACAGTTAGGTCAAATCTGAGAGAATTATTCAGAAAGGGCGTTAATAGGGCTATCGAATGCGCTTTTCCGCGGTGCTGTAGCTCTATTGGTTCCCGAGTTATGCGTTGGCTTCTTGGAAATTTTCGACATTCGACCTGGAAATTGGCGAAATTTTGCCTTCAATGACCTCTGGTGACCTGACCTTTAAACTGACCAAAAAATTGACCGAAGTGATTTCGTCATTATTTTTGACGCTCTTTCGAACACCGCCTTCCGCGTATCGCTACGTGGCCCAGGAGCCGAGTTACAAGGGGGGGGGGGGGGTTCAAACACCCCCCCCCCCCTAGCAGGGCGTGGAAATCCAGGACCCCCAGCCGGGCGCGGGTTAACATGTTAGCCGAGGCCCTGCCAGGAGGTCCTCGACTCGGCACTTTGTTCGGAGTCTAGAACTTGCGTACCCCCAGAACGCCTTGGGGTTCTGCTTCAGGTTTTTGGCCAAGCTGGACTCAAAGCTTTTTCTGAGTTTCCGTGTCAGACTTCTCAGTTCGTTTCTACATCGGGTGAATCTGGCATGATCGATAGGGTCCAGTGTGGTGCAGTATACACCCCACAGTGATTTCTTCTTTTTCCTTGGTTGCATTGCATGACGGTTCATGTAGATGTTTTTGTGGCGCGTTTTTCTGGTTTTGGAGCATTTCTCAGTAGCTTTGGATATAGTGGACTTAACCAGGTATTAGTGGCAGGGGGGGGGGGGTTGTTTTCATCCACCCCTCAGGTTTTTCGGGAATATCTCCGAAACCGCTGAAGCTACGATGCTGAAATTTTCTGACTTTTCCTAAAACTAAATTGGGCACATTCCCTGAAAATTTCAAGTTCATAACTTTACCAGGGGCGGCTCCAGAGCACTGGGAATTGGGGGGTCCTATTCGTGAAGCGAGTCATTTGGGCAAAGATCACGATGCTGATGTATTATAACTGTATGCACCAGTTTAACGAACAGTGAATGAAAGGTATCATGTGATAACATATACAAAGTTATTGTGCATCCTCTTTTGACACGTTTTTGCTATAATAGGCGGATCCAGGCGTCCAAAAAGGGGGGTTATGTTTTACCTCCCAACATAGGTGCCCTGACACCGCCTATGCATGACCAATACAATTGTAGTCGTTCTCTCATAAGAAAATTGTAACATAACAAGACCATTACCACCCTTTTTAGAGACAGTACCAACAAAAACCTTATTTACTATACTTTTTGTGTACCCCCAGTCTCAATGATCTGTATCCGCCTATGATTTTTGAAAATGCATATTTTTAGGATCCATGTGAATTCCTGGTTCATTCTCTATCGATCGGCAAAAGTTGCGTTAAGATTGGTTCAGAAACCTGGCCGTGATAAACAGTCTAAAATGTATCTGCAATTTGCCCGTTTTTACCCCCCTCTACCCCCCTATTGACATTTTTTAATTTTTATTTTTTAGAAATGTAGATCACGTTGAGCGAAATCGAATGCCGTTTGAGTTCTGAAAATCGGCCCGTTAGATCTCGAGATATCGGGGGGGGGGGGTCGTAAACAGCCCCCCCCTGCCACTAATAGGGGTAGCCAGGAGCCTGCCACTAATAGGGTTAAATGCAGTGTAGGCTTCGTCAAGGTGCATTGTATTCAGCTGGCTCCAGTCGTGTGCCTCAAGCATACCCGCCAGGCGGGTATAGTCAGTAACCTTGTGTGGAGGTGGGAGTGACACATCTGAGTAGCATGCCAGGTTGAATCTTAAAGGGACCCTCCCACCTTCAAAAAAGTTTATGAATTGGAATGAAAGTGATGTCGCTCGGTTCAGAAAGAGCGAAAACGAATATCTACCAAATTTCACCGAAAAATATTCACCGGTTTTCAAGATATTAGACTTTTACTTTTGTTTACTTTTTGGGATCTCCGCTGTTCCTAGCGACTTTATTTAAAAGTGCGGCATTTGTTGCGCGCAACGCAGCATATACCACCGCGTGCTACAAAACGTTTTAGTCAAACATTTAACGGACGTTCGAAAGCCTGATGACGTCATCAGATCCCCGTAATGGTTAAGAGATAGGGACCACGCTGGTCCCACCCTGCAAGTAAAGGGAAGAAATTTCTTGAACACCATAAAGCTGCGGGGGTTGCGACCAGGATAAATGGTGGTTTCTGAGCCTGGCCGCAAACTTGGCTATCTCAACTCAAAACTAATGTTAAGGTGGGAGGGTCCCTTTAAAGGTAGTGTGCCAGCTTTCCTGGACCGTATGGAGTTAATGGCCCAGATAAGAAGAACCGGATTTTTAGAACTTATCCATACCTTCAAAACTCATGGAAACGTCTTAAATTCTTCAAATTTTGAGTACCTCAGTGCGAAATTCGCCCCGACGGGTTGTCGGTCGTACCCCAACCACATTTCACACCACTATGAACAATAAATGCACACACTGAAATCGCTATTACCGATAGGCTCATCCAATCAAGTTTCGATAAACCCGTTCATCATCATCTCCTGCGGTTTCGAACACGCCTGTTAGGTGGTGCGGTAGACCGCGCCCAAAGCCAGGGCCCCGGTAACGTGAGGTAGCCGAGTCGGGGCAGCGTGCGCTGACCCAAGCCGGGGCCGCGCGTCCTCCCGGTGTCATGTGATAGCCCGGGGATGCGGTAGACCGCGCCCAAAGCCGCGGCCCCGGCTTGGGTCAGCGCACGCTGCCCCGACTCGGCTACCTCACGTTACCGGGGCCCTGGCTTTGGGCGCGGTCTACCGCAGGTGGCTTCTGCTCATACTTTGTGGTGCGGTGGTGGTGCGTCGGGCCGCGCGCTCTGACTTCGGCCAAGAAAAATGCGTCAGCTGATCATTGTCATTTCTGCCACTTCCATGTGGTGAGATGGGGTCATAACATTAGAGACGGCTGTTTCATATCAATTATTTTACCTAAAATGATATTACAAACCATAAATTAATGTTTGACAGCCAAATTAAAGAAACAATACCAATACAGGCTTACAGTTTAAATTCGACATTGTGTTGTCTACGATTAGACAGCTGATAACTCATTCCCGTACGTCGTAACCCTATAATGACCTTTGCTTATTGTCACATGTGCGCCGCATTCGCGATTGTTGCCGACGCCTGTTTGCAGGTCAGCCCACTACAGTTGTTATACATATCGAAAAACCGATAAACTTTTAGGCGAAAAAAGCACTATTTTAGGCCCATTTTTGATTTTTTTGCGATATTAGGTAAAAACAGAAGCTTCTTATCCTAGGAAAAATAAAATGGGAAATCATTGGAAGGTGGCACACTACCTTTAAGACCACATGGTCACTTCTGTCCAATCCTGGCTGGTATTGGATGTTCCTCACCATACCTTCCTCATTGGTGAAAATGAGATGTAGCACATTTGGTGATTCGCGCAATCGGTATCGAGTTGGATGGTGCACATGCTGGTACAGCAAGCAGTCTTGGACTGTTTCAATGAACTGTTCTACATTCCTACATCCCCAGCGTTGTCCAAAGCAGCGAAGTTATAAATTGATGGGAATTTAAAGCCTGTTGCCAGCCATACCATTGATGGAACAAGGTGGAAAATCGGCGTGACAACCGCCACGCCCACTAAATGGCTGGCTGTAGCCGGACCATATTCTTATGTCCAGACAATGGTCAAACCAATGGAACACCGAGCCGGTCTCCGGCGGGCGGTGATGGTGGCGTTAAGCACCATTTCAGCAGGCCGTTAGCGGACGAACCGGCCCGCCTCGGCTCATTGTACCCCAACCGCCGGAGGGTGCAGTCGACACGGCATGCGCATCGATTGTCGCCACCGCGCCAAGCATGCAGGGCGTCAGGTCATTGGGGGTTTATGGCCGCGGCCGGCGGCCACCGGCACAGTGGACGGTGGCACAAACGAGCGGCGTGCGCTGCCTCTGTCTGCACCGCGCCGCCGCGGACGGATTTTACCGGCCCGCCCCCGGTCGATACTCGAGTGGCTTACCGACAAACTCATGGCACTAATTACCGGCTGCGATTGTCGCACCGTGGATGAGCTAGCTGCAGGATTGCAGGCTGCCACGGACGTCGGTCACACAGTTGCCCGGTGCGTGCGCGCCAATGCTGGCGACGCACGGAATGTCGCGTTCCATGTGTATGAGAGGAAATTGTCACATTTGGACAACAGCGAATACTCACTGAAATACGCACGCCACTGTGGCCTCAGGCACGGACATATGTGCTACAATGCTTCTGACGACTCAGTACATACTTGTTACATCGGTCCGACGTAAAAGGTGATTAAATCCTGAACAATATCCAAGTTCGACATTGGCATAAATGTATCTATAACAGGCCGATGGAACTCCAAAAAGCACAACTTGTCCAGACGGCCACAACAGCCCTGTTATATGACTGATCGGATTTATTTCCTTGTTGTTAGTTTGATTTTGGCCTCATCTGAGTGATAAACCCAGCCAAATCTATAATGAATCTCTTACTAAAACGATAGCAAGTCCGGATGAGATCCCTCGCCTGCCCGGAGCACGTAATCCTGAACACATCCTGTTCAATCCCACGGTGCTAGAAAAATTGCCGCAATCTGGGCTGAATTATCAATATAGGTTAGGGCATGGATAACGACTGCTAGGAATTAACTGGCCCATTGCCCCGTGCCTTCATTTCAGTGGAATGGCATTCAGCTCAACAGCAAGCGACGAATCCCAGCCGGACATCTTCAAGTCATTTCCAACCATCCGGATTAAAAACGCATCGGAAATATTTCCACCAGATTACGATAAAACTGCATTTCCAACGCCTTCAGGTAAGCTCAACGCGTCATGTGGGCAACGCACTTATATTTTTCTATACAATATGCCTAATTTGACCGTACTTAACCCGCGCGGGGCTGGGGGGGTAAATTTTACCCCCCCTCGCGAATTTTTGCAATATCTCAAAAACGGCGGCACGCAGCGCCGCCAAACTTTCAGTACCTTTTCTTACATCAATTTGACACGTTCCCTGAAAATTTGAGCGAAATCGGTCGGAAATTTTTTGAGAAATTAACGTTTTAGTGACGTCATGTTCGCCATTTTCGCCTCAAAAACGGCAAAATTTCAAACGCCGCTAACATCTTCATTTTTAAAGGAATCAAGACGTAACAAAAAAGGTTATACGTAATTCTACTTTGTTTATCCAATGGCAATCTCGGTTTTTTGAAAATTTTGGATTTTTGCCCAAATTTTTCCAAAAAACTGACTTTTTTTGGAAAATAACTATAAAATCCAAAATTTTGAGTGTATCGTAAAAACCGGAATATATAACCCGGTTTACATAGGGTTTGTTGCAAGCTTATATCTCCGTCCGTGATGTTGCAAAAGATGCCAATGGTGCTTAACAATTTACAAAATGATCCCCTCTAAATATTTGAAGACCACTGCAACGAAATTATCGCCAAATTAACGAGCTAGAGCCTCGTCAAATATGCTATGTAAACCGGGTTTATGTCAGAGAAGTGGTCTATGTGCACCCACATGCCAATTTTTAGAAGAATCGGTTCAAAAATGTGGCAGTTATTAAACATTTTATGACGTCACGACACACAAAAATTTTGAAAAATGATTTTTTTTTGGAAGTTGTAGACCTCGTACGGACACAAAAATAGCACCATTCGATTGGCCGTGAAAAACTGCATCAGATAGACACCTTTTTAGGCCTTAAAAAAACCAACTTCAAAATTTGACCTCACTTGACCTGACCTTGACCTGAACTCGACCTGAAATTCATCCAGAGGTGGTCCATATCACTTATTGAGTGTGCCTATTGAATTCTATGAGTAAAATGGCCCATGAAACATGTGTCGCACATGCCCTTTTCTATATTTTGTTTTTGGTGACCTGACCTGACCTGACCTGGCCTTGACCTTGACCTTTGAATGACATTGTATGCAACGAATATTGTCTTGGCAGTCTAAGAAAGAACACGTTTTGGGCAATCAGTCTCAGTCCATTCTTCGGCAACTACGGTGCAGGGCCGATACTGTAGAAACTTGCATTTTGTACCCTTGACCTGACCTTGACCTGACCTCTGACCTACTTAAGCAAAAAAAAAATTGGGCTCTTAAGATCCGCCTTGTTGAGAGCTTTCGATTGCCGTTTTCCCCGTCTTTCTACGACCATTGGTTCGGAATTTAGACAGGGGGGGCAGAATCTGCCCCCCCCCCCCCCCAGCAGGGCGCGTATGGCTGAATAGCCCAGCGGGGCGCGGGTTAACCTTCGGATATGTCAAGCCTCTGATAGCCTGATACTATGCTGACGCAGAAGTGGCAGATGTTTTCTCGTAATGGCATCTTGACGAAATGTTCACTGGAAAAGTCACATGTCCTCTTACGTAGGTAAAGCGTCAACTAAGAAGGCTCCATTATTTTAGTTTCGTGGCATTATCTGCCCATTCTTACCCGAAACATGTTGATAAATTATGAAATGCATTTAAATATATTCGTTTGACTACAAAGACAAGGAAATCTTACATTTTGCAACGTGCAATGGGTATCACTTTTAACATCAAAATACGAGTTATTGTTGTAAGCGTTAACTACCTATTGCCAAATGACTTCCATGTCCTTCGACTTCCTTGGCGCTGCGACTGGCGTTTCTATTTTATAAATTGGACCAGTAGTACTTGAGATCTGCGGGGAGGGGTGAGGGGGTGAGGTGCAGTGGATCACGCGCCACCCCGTTACTCGTAGGGTATCTACTATACATGAGCCTGCTACTAATAGGTTTGACATTCTTCGGCAACTACGGTGCAGGGCCGATACTGTAGAAACTTGCATTTTGTACCCTTGACCTGACCTTGACCTGACCTCTGACCTACTTAAGCAAAAAAAATTGGGCTCTTAAGATCCGCCTTGTTGAGAGCTTTCGATTGCCGTTTTCCCCGTCTTTCTACAACCATTGGTTCGGAATTTAGACAGGGGGGGCAGAATCTGCCCCCCCCCCCCCCCAGCAGGGCGCGTATGGCTGAATAGCCCAGCGGGGCGCGGGTTAACCTTCGGATATGTCAAGCCTCTGATAGCCTGATACTATGCTGACGCAGAAGTGGCAGATGTTTTCTCGTAATGGCATCTTGACGAAATGTTCACTGGAAAAGTCACATGTCCTCTTATGTAGGTAAAGCGTCAACTAAGAAGGCTCCATTATTTTAGTTTCGTGGCATTATCTGCCCATTCTTACTCGAAACATGTTGATAAATTATGAAATGCATTTAAATATATTCGTTTGACTACAAAGACAAGGAAATCTTACATTTTGCAACGTGCAATGGGTATCACTTTTAACATCAAAATACGAGTTATTGTTGTAAGCGTTAACTACCTATTGCCAAATGACTTCCATGTCCTTCGACTTCCTTGGCGCTGCGACTGGCGTTTCTATTTTATAAATTGGACCAGTAGTAGGTACTTGAGATCTGCGGGGAGGGGTGAGGGGGTGAGGTGCAGTGGATCACGCGCCACCCCGTTACTCGTAGGGTATCTACTATACATGAGCCTGCTACTAATAGGTTTGACATATTTTCATGTCTAGCTTATTTTTCTTTCGAGGCATTTTGCAGCTCTTGCAGTTTGTAGCTGCATGTGATAATTTTAATTTTGTTGTCATGTGAAAGCGCTATGTTCATTGAATGCGACAGTGTAACTTACCATCATGTGTCGTTTCAGATGGGAAGCCGATGGTCATCTACTTTCGCTTTAGCTTGGCCAACATCGTCGAGATTGATGAAGCTCGCGGCGTAAGTTGAAAAACTTAGATAGCTGTCCTAATAGCTGAAGTACTCTTTTTAAGAAAATGGTCGTGGTCGGTTCTATGTATAGTAAAAACGAACTTCAAGCTTCACGATGCGCTCTCTTCCTAGTCAATCACACGTAAGCATGTTTCTTAGAATTTAAATACAACTTATTCGAGAAAAAATCCACAATCATGCGTGGTACATTGTGCATACGATTCTATCATGCTCACGGCTGTTCTAAGCCCACCGGTTTGTGCCGCCAGTTCGTGGTGTACCAGGCGTACATGTCTCTGTACTGGAGGGACGAGCGTCTGGTGATGCCGCCGCTGCCGCCCGGCTCCAATGCCTCCAGCGTGCAGCTGGACACGCTGATCCAGCAGCGGCTCTGGGTGCCGGACGTCATGGTCTACAACCTCGAGGAGATGACGCAGTTGGAGATGCTGGGGAAGCTCGGGATGCTCCGGCTGCTCACATCGGGCTATGTCCAGTACGGCATCTAGTGAGTAGTCCACTACAAGGGATGGGGGAATACTGTACACTCATGAGAGACATTCGGAAGAGTTTGGAGTTAGAAAACTCGCTGCGGTAGGTATGTACTAGGTAGGTAGCGGAATGAGAAGGCAGCACTGGCCATAGGCGGCGGAACGGGGAGGGCACCTGGGCACCGAGCCCCCCTTAGATTTTGGCATTTCAACATTAGCCCTATGGGCGTTGCATGGAAAGAATGGGACCAAAAGTCGGCAGTGCCCCCCCCCCCCTTAATTGAAGGTGTTCCGCCGCTACTGGCACCGGCGACAAGGGAGAGAGGATAAAATAGGGGAAGAGCTCGTAGATATCGTCTAGGTGAAAAGAAGATAACATATAACGGGATCAACATGCATAACATATAGATATATAAACAGATATGCACAATACAGATAACGCCTGAAAAGAATTTGGTTAAAGGATGAAAAAGGACGAATGAAAAATAAAAGTATGAACAAATAATGGGAGGGATAAAGTTGTTAGGATAGCAGGTTCAAATTTCGAGGAGAAATATCCTCTTTATTGGCATGGGGTCCAAGTGAAGATGCTGAGGAAGGCTGAAAAACTATAAAGATGGACACGATAAGTTATTGACCGCTTACATTACGTGCTGTGGCCCGTGTATTGTCAATGCTATCAACTTTATTAAGTGGGTGACATCGACGATTAAGTATGTTTGCTTGGTGTTTCACTGAAAGTACACTATACGCTGGTCGCGATATTACCCTTGGCTTCGCTCTAGGTAGCTGCAAGTTCGATTAGAAAGATGTTGTTTATTTCGCTACTTGCAAATGATACCTATGATAACAAGCGCCATAGATGTGCCATAGATAACAGAAAACCCATATATACCAAACGTTATGTAGGGTATAATGTTTTATATTCATTCAGGCTGGCTAGTGCAAATGACATGAACTATATAATTTAGCGTGTCAGCGTGTTATTATAATCAAACGTTATAATTACATAATTTTTTTTAACGGTCTGCTTTGCATTTGACCTGAGCGACCTTTCAGCGCCCGATTGTCAGTGGCCTGCCATATGGACTTCTCTACCTATCCGTTCGACACACAACACTGCTCGCTGAAATTTGGAAGCTGTAAGTGCATCTACCGCTATGTTCGTCCTATCTCGTGATACGTTAGGTAAAACTTTTTTTTGTGCCGTTGGACTGCTTATTATTTCTGATTAGTCATGACTAAGAAACCTGTGATGTACTGGAAGCTAAGATGCAATGGTAATGCTAGCGAACTCCGTGAGACTTTCACCGCTGATGCCATAATGACGAAGCGTATCAAGAAAAAAATCATTGCAATGATTCCAGGATGAACATGTTGAACCATTCGCAAGGGATGGGAGGCAAGTTAGCCACAAGAGGCGAGGGATCTTATTTTCCGAAGCACCGTTTTTCTCTTAGATTAAAACGAAATGCTAGACGCTGGCTAACAAGGCTTACCAATTTTGACCTATACCTACTGTTTCAGACGGTAGTGAACATGAATACATGGAGTACAGGTGGTCTCCCCCGCATACAATGCTGTTCTCTAAGGATACTATGGAGCTCCAGACGTACTACATATCTGTAGCGCGCTCCGGTCCCGAGCTGGGCTGCTCCTCAGCTGGCGGCCAGCGTAAGAAAGGAAAACATTGGGAAGCGGGGGGATGACGGTTGGAGGACAGAGGGTTTAATACATAAAATGGGAACATGAGTATAGCCTAACGGAACGTTATGCACTACATGCAGTACAAAGAAAGAACAGTGTAATTAAATGCAAAGGCATGAAATCCGTATGCATTTCGGTGTCCTAAAGCTTTGTGCTTAGTTTTGTGTATTACTCGTTTGACATCTGAGACACACCCGCCTCACTGTACCGTTGCTCCCTGGCTTCCGGCAGAGTTCTGCTACTCGAACGTTGTGGTGAACGTGACGATGCAGCGCCGCAAGAGCCTGTTCGTGTGGCACATCTTCGTGCCGTGCATCCTGCTGGTGGCCACCTCGTGGCTGAGCATGCTGCTGCCGCCCGACATCATCCCGGGGCGGATGGTGCTCTGCATCACATCCATGCTCGCCATGCTGACCCTCTTCACGTCCAGTCTGTAAGTCAAACGGACTATTGTCCAGTCTGTTAGTCAAGCGGATTGACTCCATGTCCAGTCCGTGAGTGAAACGGACAAACTTATCGTCTAGCCCATAAATGCAGCGGACAGGCTTCTTGTTAGGTCTGTGAGTGAAACAGACTAGACTTTTGTTCAGTATGGGCGTGGGTTGTGTCAGACTTAGCGTCGATGTCAGACTTAGGTTGGCAGGATGTGTGTGGGTGGCGGACGGACTTCACGCCGTATTGACGAGCGTTGACATCGGCGCCGCATTGTGGTCATGTGGCGCTGTTCGCACGGGGCTTTGTTCATGGCGAATGCCGCTGAAGTGGGCACTGGAACAGCGGCCCGGCTATCTGATGACCTCCAGCACGGCAGGTTCGTTGCGTGCCCCATTAGCCGTGGCGCCGCATTTGAACAGGACGCCACACCGCCCAAGCGGATATTTACATGAACCGTGCATTAACCTCGGACCCTTGCCAATCGATTTCCGTGCATAATAGCGAGTTGCGCGAATGAGGGCATGGGACACTGCACTTAGTTGGCAGGGCGTCACACTCTGCTAACGCCGCTGTCTGTCTCCCGTCTCCAGGAAGACGATGGGCGTCTCGTACCTGCGTGCCAGCGACGTGTGGTACGTGGCGTGTCTGCTGTTCGACTTCCTCATCATCCTCGAGTACTCTGTGCTGCTGTGGCTGCAGCGCCGCCGCGAGGAGGGCGAGGCCAAGTGGGGCCAGGTGCAGCCCTTCCCGGCCACGGACGGCACAAAGCTGGTGCGACCCAGCCCCGTCAAACCAAAGGTCAGATTCAAGGGACAGGACAGGGTCACTGCCGCAGTGTGGCCAAATTGGTTTAGCGTTAGGGGGAGGATGTAAAAAAAGTCGTATGAGGATGTCACTATTTTCAAAAAAACTTGTCTTCAGTGTCATTTTAGGTGCAGTTTTTACAAGTTATGTGGAAAAACTATACCTGACGACAAGCTCTGGTGGAAAGTAAAAAAAAAAAAATCAAATATTGTCATCAAAGATGTAAAAAAAAAAAAAACAGCAAGCGCGACAGTACGAGTATGACGGTGCGAATCGTACATTGGAATATTTTTAGTCTTTATTCCTACACTAGGTATGCTTTCACAACAAAAACGTTGTGATAATGTAATTTTAAAATTTCTGAGGATGTCATACTTTTCATTGGGGGTGACTTCCCCCGCAACATCACCAATTTGGCCACACTGGTCACTGGTCAGGGTCGCCACCGACTCTGGGTTCAAGGTCAATGGTCATTAGGAGGTATGTACTGTTGCGAGCTGTACCGCCGCGAGCCTGCTGTCAAAGGTTAGCCTTTCCTATTTCTGTCGTTACAGTTACCATCCGACTTGTCACCTTGAATTTGTAATTTCAGTGTAGCAGTTTCGTTCTCTGTCACAAAACTAGGGCCATTTCCGACGATATTTCCCATTTCACACGCACACGAGGCCACGGTTGCTCCTTTGTCGTCACCAAATGCAGACAAGTCATGACAAGCGAGCATGCATGCTCAAGCGCTTCCACGCACGTACTACTGCTAGCCATGGCTCACTCAAATGCAGTTAGCAGTAGCACGCATGACAATGCTACCACTTGGGACTTAGCTGCCGCTGTTGAGAAGTTGGAGGGACATAGGCGTCAACGGTCCGGTTAATGCCTTTCACAAGGCACTGACGAGTAGAATATTATATCGATCGATCGATACATCAGCTCCGGTTGGCTTTACGTAAGAGTTTGATGATGTTGTCTGGTGTTTACAACCCTCTCATGCATACCGTCCTGGTATGTATGTTGGTAGTTACCAAGTCTAGGACAGCACACCGCCAATTCCCAGTGGTGCAGGGCCATTACCATGGGTTGTGCGCGCTTGTAAGGCACCATTATCTCCCAAATGACCAGACCCGGACTGCAGTATACTGCAATGGCTCGTTTGTCCGAAGTGTGCATTGCAAGCAGAGCTGTCATAGGAACATAACCGTTTTATGGTTCTTTATGGTTTGTAAGGAATGATTGGACTTTCACGAGCCATTTAAATATGCATAAGCTGCCATGGGGTTTCTGCTTCTTTGTATCTAGGTGCTGTTATGGCGGTAAGCAAGGATTCGGCATTTTGATATTTATTTCCGGCCCCGTCCTTCATCAAAGTGTAAGATAGCTATGTTAAGCGAAACAAATGCAACAACACCTTCCCTTTCAATATTTTTTTTTTCTAGCGTTCTAGTTCAGCTTATAATTTGTAACTTGATTCAATGGGAATAGGTCATAACCTCCACTGTTGTCTTCAATTTGACTTTTCAAATCAAAGTGGCTATATATTGCTGGAACATGTCTTTCGGAGGAGTGAAGCAGTTCTCATAGCTACAACACCCAAGAGTTGTAAAAAAATACGTTATCTGAAAATTTGAACGTTTCGGAAGCTGTGACTTTCATTTACGGTCTGCTATCAACCTGAGTGTGGCCTCACGACGATCCTTGTTTGCACATGAGTAGCGTAATGTCGTTTGTATTTGGGTGCGATGAGTGATGACCCACATTAGAGGTCTATAATGGTTATGCATTTTTCTTAGTTTTAATTAGACATCTCATCGAAACACTAAAACAGTTGTCTGGATGTTGAGTTTTATTCGATGCCGCCTCCACACGGCGACGAATTCACCGCTCATTTTTCTACAGAAATGTCTTGCTAATTTAAAAATGTGTCTTTGCCATGTGTGGCCTGAGGGAGGCTATCATACTGCCTTTGTAAACCTTTAATGCCACCACCTTTAGGACCATCAATGCATGTGGTAATGAGCCGACCCTGGGGCGATGTCATGTGCAGTACACGATGGGCGGTAATATTTCAGAGCATGTAAACATGGCCCTCGTCAAAACAGCCCAAAGGTCTGTACATATTATGATACTAATCAGAAGCATGTTGAGCGGAATAGTATTAATTTTATATTATTTCCATGGAATATATTGTGTGTGTGTTGTGTTCATCGTACAGTAGCAGGACAAAACCAATTAGTTTCGTCATATAGAAAAGTGTCTTGACATGAGCATTTGCGTTTTACAAACACGTTTTAAAATTAAATAACAAATTTAATTATATAAACCTATAATGTGTATGTGTAGGATGGTTTTTAGGTAAATGGAATGTTTAACTATTCATATTTTGTATTCGTAGCGGCGATCAACGTGCCTGCATCCGTAAACTGGTGAACGCTCCCGCAGTCTCTGTCTCTGTGTTTTGCGCTTCTTCAGTTTAGTGTCTGTGTTTTTTCTCGCACCCTCAGTCTCGAGCCTATGTGTTACTGCACTCCTTCAGATTCGCGCCTCTGTGGTTGCGCTCTCTCACTCTCGTGTCTCTGTGCTACACCGCTCTCTCACTCTCGTGTCTGTGTTTCTGCGCTTCCTCAGTCCAATGGTGCTATACATATTAGCCGTTTTCACGACGGCCATCTGGTACACATTTGGTGCACATTTGGTGCAGATTAGGTGCAGAACTGGTCAAATTAGGTTCAGTGTAGCCGTTTTCACGACGGCCATCTGGTACACATTTGGTGCACATTTGGTGCAGATTAGGTGCAGAGCTGGTCAGATTAGGTTCAGTGTGTTTCTTAGTAGCTATCAGCTAAGGTTTCACTTATTGCTTAGGTATATGCCTGCTTTGTCATATTATCAGAGAGTATCATCGATTAAAACACTGAAATAAATTCATAAAATAAAGATATTTGCTGTAAAGAGACTAAGTGCAGATTTGGTCAAATTAGGTGCACTCGCCGGATATCCACTGAAAACGGCTATTATAAAGCTCCCTCAGTCTCGTGTTTTCATGTTATCCCGCTCCCTCAGTCTCGTGTCTCTGTGTTATCTCGCTCCCTCAGTCTCGTGTCTCTGTGTTATCCCGCTCCCTGAGTCTCCTGTCTCTGTGTTATCCCGCTCCCTCAGTCTCCTGTCTCTGTGTTATCCCGCTCCCTCAGTCTCGTGTCTCTGTGTTATCCCGCTCCCTCAGTCTCCTGTCTCGTGTGTCCGCAGACGTCGAAGCGGGAGGCGCGCCAGTCGGCTCGGAGTCTGTGGGAGGACCTCCAGGAGCCATCGTACATGGACGAGATCAGTCGCTGGGTGCTGGCCGTCTTCTTCATCATATTTACCATCATCTTCTGGAGCTACTACGCCGCCTCGAAAAGGGAACACAGTGAGCAGTGAGAGCGACTGGCTATGCCAAGTATTTGGAAACACAAGGACAGTATGAAGGCTCTATCGTATTTTCAGCTGCCTGCTTGTCATGCTGATTCGTGATACTATGTAATATGGCTTTAGTGGCTTGCCTTTAACCCTATTAGTGGCAGGGGGGGTTGTTTTTATCCACCCCTCAGGTTTTTCGGGAATATCTCCGAAACCGCTGAAGCTACGATGCTGAAATTTTCTGACTTTTCCTAAAACTAAATTGGGCACATTCCCTGAAAATTTCAAGTTCATAACTTTACCAGGGGCGGCTCCAGAGCACTGGGAATTGGGGGGTCCTATTCGTGAAGCGAGTCATTTGGGCGAAGATCACGATGCTGCACCAGTTTTACGAACAGTGAATGAAAGGTATCATGTGATAACATACATATACAAAGTTATTGTGCATCCTCTTTTGACACGTTTTTGCTATAATAGGCGGATCCAGGCGTCCAAAAAGGGGGGTTATTTTTTACCTCCCAACATAGGTGCCCTGACACCGCCTATGCATGACCAATACAATTTTAGTCGTTCTCTCATAAGAAAATTGTAACATAACAAGACCATTGCCACCCTTTTTAGAAACAGTACCAACAAAAACCTTATTTACTATACTTTTTGTGTACCCCCAATCTCAATGATCTGTATCCGCCTATAATTTTTGAAAATGCATATTTTTAGGATCCATGTGAATTCCTGGTTCATTCTCTATCGATCGGCAAAAGTTGCGTTAAGATTGGTTCAGAAACCTGGCCGTGATAAACAGTCTAAAATGTATCTGCAATTTGCCCTTTTTTACCCCCCTCTACCCCCCTATTGACATTTTTTAAGTTTTTTTTTTTAGAAATGTAGATCTCGTTGAGCCAAATCGAATGCCGTTTGAATTTTGAAAATTGGCCCGTTAGATCTCGAGATATCAAGGGGGGTCGTAAACAGCCCCCCCCCCCTGCCACTAATATGGGGTAGCCAGGAGCCTGCCACTAATAGGGTTAAATGGATCTCAATTGTAATGTGCTGTACATATGATTATTCCATGATTGAAAGATAACCGTGTGTGCTCATGGTAAATTGTTTCACCAGTACTACTACCCTCATGATTCATTCTACATATTTAAATCCAGTTTTAGGCATTAAGAGAAGCATCAGTGTACTTTCATATGCCATTAATTTTTTGATTGTATCAGAAATGTATTTATGAAATGTCAGAATAATATTCTGCCATTGACATGATGTTGTGTATCGCTGTCTATACATGCCAACCCATCGTGCGTTTAATCAGCACCAATCAGGTGCTTAGAGCAGGCATGCATGCCTCGTGCTGTTACTGCACACAGTTATATTCGTGTAAACTGCCACCTCTAAAGAGTTCGTTCTTTATTCGGTGAAGTTTGTACTATCCAAGTTTAGATAATAAATTTCATCAGCATTTTAGCATGCAATTATGAATCTGAAAAATGTTGTTTACCTATAGTCGGCTTGTTGTCACAAATCTATATAAAATAAGGCTTAAACATCTCGTTCTTGCACGTAGGGGCAGTACTGGACCCATTTGCAGGAGCATCCGTACAACAATGGTGCAATTAAGGAGTGTACCTAATGTTCGTATCTGCAAATACCTGTCAAATTGAGATCTACATTCAACACGAAACAGGTGTCCGACATGGTACCATATAGGCACATTGTCAGCCTGATTTCGAACAGTAGTGTTACTGCCATGGTGTCGACTCAACAGCAAGGACATAAAATGTGGCGTGGTTATGAAGCTTAGGCCATATATGAAGCTGGAATGGTTAGTATTTCAGGCGGATGCTGCTTCATAAACGATGAGCCTACTCTCTGAAATATGAATTATTAATATTTTATCGTTACCCATGAAGTTAAATATTTTCAACTGTTTTTTTTTTTTATCAGTGTAAATCAACAAATTGGCGAATGTCCTTTATTTCTACACTTAACTTTGATATAATTTTTATCCTTTTTTTCACTGATGAAGACCTGTGGTTGATATATTTGAAAACTATTCAAATTAATGCATCAAAAACATTATATATCTTGGGAAGGCCATCATATTTAAAATGAATCAGCATTTCTTTACACTAGAAATAATGCCATCCTCTAAAAAACCCTTGACTTTCAGCTAGTATTGCTATGAAGATTTGTATCATTCCCGTGACAGGAAGACCATGTCTGTTTTTTTTTCATGACAGACGGTCTAGCTGCATGGGGTTGCAGTATTACCAAATCTAAAATGATTATTGAAATTAACAAGTATTGCATTACTGTAATAAGATGCTCGACACTGTAGGACGTGTACACATCTATGTTCGACAGATTATATAGTTGCGCTTTTGTGACGCTAGAGTTCAGTGCTGTCGACTCTTGTATGCGGTGTGTGACAACCACCTTTGGAGGACGACCCAGCGAGCACGCAGTCGCCTTTCGCACAGCCGCCTGTATGGAAGCGCTCAACAGGTCCACTGTTTCCGCAGTCCACTGTTTCCGCCTGTGTGTGCCAGCTCGTAACGGGCTCATTGAGAGTGTCGGGCGGCGCGTTTGGTATGTCTATATGACCAGGTCGGACGGCGTAGGGAGCTGTAGAGCCGCCGGCAGCCGGCCGTGGCGACAAAGACCGGCAGTTTGTGACCGGTCACGGTGGCTGGGGCCTCGTGAGCAGCCATTGGACGGCGCCCGCTGGCAGGACCGGCGCACTGGACCGGGCGCCCAGGGTGCAGTTCTGAGAGGCGCACATTGACCCAGTGTGGGCGGCCGGTCGCACTGGGGGCGGCCTGTGAAGGGGCGCGGTCCCGGTGGCGTGATGCTCACCGTGACGCAAACATCGAGCGGTGTCTCCCAGTAATTGGTTCGCCGGGCAGTCCAAACACGGCCGGCCGGCCGAACAATGTGGACACTCCGCGGCACGCTGTCATAGTAATTGCTTCGCTCCTGTATTCAGGCGCGACGTGACGAAGGCGGGAATAATTGTGGTGCAATTTGTCACCACTGGGACCTCTAGGGCGGCACGAGGCGTGCTGCAAACGACTCATTTGCAGACAACGTCCTTATTGAGCCAGCGATGCCTCAGCGAGAACCGCAATAGACCTAACAACACGATTGTTCCTGGCCTAGACAAAGACAAGGGCTCGACCGTCACTGGATGAAGACGTCACAAACAAGGTTCGTGATTAATGAATGCAAGACACTGAATACCAAATTTGTCACTTGGGCCATGTGTCAGACTGTCTTTGAATGTCCTTGGTCGTGGGCGTATCCTTCCGTGTCTGGCAGCTGTATCTGGGGTCCGTCGAACCCTCTGAGCTGTTCCCGTTTTCTCTGCCGACGGGCCACCAGGCACGGGACTGGCAGCAGCGGCTGGCCCCTGCGATGCACATCACATGGGTCACACATGTGGATATGGGTTAGAGTGATTCGGATGGGTAACACTTTTCAATTGCGGATTGCTGAATGCGTGGTGTTCTCGAAAGGAATATCGTAAGATATGGATGCATGATTAAATGAATGTTTTCGCAAATCAAAATGTTAGATATCTCTGGCTCTAACGGCATATCAAGAATAATGAGAAATGAACACCGGATGCAGTTGTGCAGCCGCTTTCGCGCATTATACACCACTCACTGTGAGCGTCCGGGCTCTGACGTATTCAGGCTGTCACTCACCTTCCGAACTGGATGGCCTCGTCGATACTGGTCGGCAGGTCCTGACCACTGGTCTCCGGCAGCAGCATGGTCAGTGCAGCGGCCACCAGACCGGCTACGCCAAATATACACAGAGGAAGGGTGGTGTCGCCCTGACCCTGCAAAAACGGAAAAAAACACGGCCAAATGGTGTGAGTGCCTAAAGCCGCTATCAGCAATCTCGCCCATACATATGCGACTTTTCCGCTCCATATTACCTGTTGACTTACATCGATGAGCTCGCTCACGATTATCAGACAGTAATATAGAAACTTTAAAAGCACGAAGTTACATAACAGCAAAAAATTCCGTCCAAATAAAGCGCGGGTTTCATTTAAGCATTGATGGTATCAAAGCACGAAGTTGTATGTCAGCCAAAAATTCAGCCCAAATTAAGCGCGTTTTTCACTAGCAATGATGGTATCATCTTATTAATTTAGTTGCACGTTTTCATGCCACAAACCTTGGCGTGGTTGATTCCTGCTCCTAAGTGTTTCAGTTATCACCATGTATAAAATATTCAATTAAATGTCCTCCATGGTTATCATTATTTATAAATTCACTGTAAACTTACCAGGTCGGCGATGAAGGGAGCCAGGATGGAGCCGACCCGGCCCGTCGCCGAGGCCACGCCCACCCCGAGCGCGCGCAGGGAGTCGGGGTACAGCTCCGCCGTGTACACGTAGGCCAGCGAGAAGGCTCCCGAGGCGCCGAACTTGCCCAGCAGAGCCAGTGTGGTGGTCAGCCACTCCAACTCTGCCGACATGAACCGGTGGGGAACCATGATCCTCAGATCATACATAGGGTGGATTTTTGAATGGAAATGGGCCTAAACCATTTACAAATGTGACTAAATATGAGCGTTCCTACAGAGACAGGACACCCTACCTAGCACCAAGAAGTCCTGTCACCGACCTGCACAGGCCCGGGCACGGGGCCCACTCACCGTTGCTCGATATGAGGCCGGCGCCGATTGTCCCCAGGCCGCTTAGCGCAAACGAGGAGACAAACATCAGCTTACGACCGAGACTGGCGGCGAGACGGGTAGTTTGTCGGGTCGGAATGTCGCCGGGGTTTTAGCACGACGGGTGAATGTCGGCTGTGGTTTAGCAAGGCAAGAACGGTACCTATCAAAATAATATGAAAACTAAAGCATCTATAAAAATTAATTGTCAAGATTTCCACAGCTACGCTGATGTATGAGATAATTGATGACTGAAGTTATGCATGTTTAGGCCATCAGAGGACACTTATCGACTCACGGGTTGATGAATAGTGAGCAGACTATGT